GAGAAGTTATCTAACATTTTCAGCAATAAAACTGATATGATGAAAGCTTTTTTCCCCTTAGGTATCACCTAGTATTGGTAACCAGGTTGTTCTCATTGTTTCTTTTTTATTGTTTAAGGCTGTAGCACATCACTTTTGTAATGCTTGCCAAAGTTCTATGGAATCATTGTTTGAGATTCACCATATGTGTCTTTTATCCCTGCCCAGTAGGTATCTTGGCTACATGTCAGTTTGGCATTTGTTATTATAAGAACTTCGACTGGTTCACTTGCTTCTGATTCTATCCACGCTGTCAGCATAGAGACTTTCAAATAGCCATCTCTGGGACCAAAGAAACTCACAAGATAGCAACCTGTTTTAACTAGATCCTTCTCACCCAAGTACTTCCCACTTGAGACAATTGATATAGTCAGTCTTAGTCAGTCTGCCTACTTTGGTGTTGACTGATCTCTGAAACAAAAATCCCTCTTCACTCTGTTTTTGAGACCTTTTGTCTAGGATATAGAGAATGAACAGCCCTGTAATTTATTATATGGTAGTAATTTATTGCGGTCATTTGATACAGAGAAGAGATAGGGAGAAGAATGGAAGTAAGTGTAGAGCATGTGGCTTCTGTTTAGTTTTCTTTCTTGTGGATTAGTCAAGGCATCGGAACCATATCATGAGATCCTCAGGCTCTGAGTTAAATCCAGTGTTCTTCGTTCTGTTCAGCATCTCTTGTTCCCTATCTTTATTTGTAGAAGTGATAGGAACTTCAGAATACATTGAAAATTATGGAACAAATATAATACTCAGAGAAAATTTCAAGTAAGAATTCTGTTAAATATGGAGCTTATCAGGGAGATTCTTTCCCCTCCCCTCAAACACTGATATCAAGAACATTCTCAGAAGCTAAATATTGCCAAGAGGCTCACAAGAAGGCACAGGCCTTGTAGTCAGGATCTGATGTTTTAAGCACCACATGGAAACGTATATTTAAGCGAATGGCCGTGTAAGTATGGTAGCTAACTGGGCCATGAACATGAACCATTGGCCTCAAAAGGCCATTCCATATATGAGAGATGAAAAAAAGGTCACCTGGTTCTGTGGGTGAGAAAGTAAATCTCTGTAAGAAGACTGAAAGCAAGTGCTATCATGCATGATTTTAAGTTCTATATTTATTATATCTTTATGAGACTCCAAGCTAAGATGTTAACAAAAAACAAATCTTAGCACCACCAAATTAAATCCATTAGATATCCCAGTCAAGCAAAAGTAAAATCATCCTTTAGGAATATTTCATTAACCCGTGAAAAATTCCTATAGAAAAATAAATGGCTTCATCAAAGATAAGTTTACATAAGCAAATTACCAACCATGCAAATTTTGCTTTGTATATGTATTTGCTTTGCACATACAAAGCAAAACTTTATAAATATAAAGAGAAATTGACAGAAACAGAACTATAGTGCAGGATTTCCACTGTCATGCTGTTTTGGCAAATTAATTAATTATAAATGTGAACATCTGTGTGATCATATTCTAGCTACCTACTTCCCTCTCAAAAAATAAATAACATGCTATACTTTACAAAGTTATTATAAGAAATACTTTTGATTGTGTGTGTGTGTGTGTATATATATATGCATACATATATACGGATATTGTACAGCCAATGGCATCATGGTTTCAAATAATTTAAATAAAATAAAACGGGAAAACCAAAAAAGTATATACAAGAAATATTAGTTCTTTTCTCTCTGAAATAAAATGTATTAAAATGTTTCTAGAATTAGAACACTAGGTGTCTTCACTGATATCTTTACGCATCTTCTGAATTTCTCAAAATTGCTATAATAAACATAATTAGAGTGATACGACATGAAATAATCCTAAAACTTGGGGAAATATACATAATTTGATATTGCTGAAGTTATGGATAAGTTTAGAAAATGGGTAGGAGTTGAGACTGCAAAGACTGCTAAAAGTCTCATCATAAAATATTAATTGAACCATTTTTAAGACACATGACTTCTCCCCACCCCCAGAGGTTATGGGACACCTCTAAGAATTTTAAGTTCAGAATGTTTATCAGATACATATTTTCAAAATCTCTCAGGCTATAGAGTATGAATTGTTGGGTGGAAAATAACCCAGGAAACCAGACTACTGTATTAATAATAGCTAACATTTGTTGGCTGCCTACTATGTGCCAGAGACCACATGTTGAACATTTTATATATTCTGTCATTTAATTTTGGCAACAATTAAGAACTGTTATTGTCACCCTCTTACACATACGGATACAGATGCTAATGAAGTTGTCCAGGGTCACTCAGTCCCTATTAGAACCTGGCTTGCGTCATAGATAATCTAGAAACAGCTCTCAGGCCCTTCCCCACTGCATTATGGTGTTGCTTGTCAAACAGATAGGAAGTGGAGCAGAGAGAAGTTCTTAGCAAAAGAAAAAGAGCAAGGGATGGGTCCAAGATGTTTAACTCAAATCACTTGTTGATAGATTGCTAGGATTAAGGAGAGAAGGAAGTCGAGAATAATTCAGGAGAGACAGGTTGACTTGAATGTTTTTGCACATAGCAAAATCATCAATAAAGTCACTAGAGAAAATAGAAAATTAATTTACTTTAATTTGTGGTGAATGTTCGTATCTTCTTCTGTTTGAATGAGTAAAATGCAATGAAGTAAAAATGGCTTAGTCATGTGATGCAGCAAGCGTAGTATAGAGTGCAGATTCAGGATATGGCACTTACTCACTTCATAGTTTTTAACAAGTGGTTTTTTTTTTTTTTTTTTTTTAATTTTTCTAATGGAGCCCAAGCTTCTTAACCTGTTATATGGCGAGAGAGAACCATAGAACCTTCCACAAACTTCTTTTTATTCTCATTTTATCTAGAGCTTTGTAGACTTGCAAGTAACAGGGGTACATATTGAAAATGTTTATTTGAGTAATCAAAACAGAAAGATGTAGATTAATACAAGAACATACGCTTTTCAAATTTATAAATTTTAAGTATTCATAAATTAACATCAAACTTTACTTACCACTAAAAGCACATCTATTTTAACTCCTGTTTATTCATTAGATTCAACATTCTTAAGATATTTGGTCTTTATGATTTTGGCATTTGTACAAATTTTGTTTAAAAATTTGAGGTCATAACATTTTCCATATGATATGAATTAAAATTTTAAAAAACTTTCATATTTATAAGATTTTTTCTCTAAAAAAAACATATTACTATGGTCAACTAATTGGTATATGAAATTTTCTTCAGACCTTTTTAATTTAGAAAATGATTAAGCAGTAAAGTTTTTTTTTTCCTAAATGTTCTTGTTCTTAGTAGCAGAAGATCATATCATATCTGACTTACCTTAGAGGTCTTATTCTCCAAAAGTTTAGACTTCATTTTAATTTTAATTGCCAATCCTTTTTGAGGTTTGGAATGATTGTTGACTCCATTATGAAGGTTGCCTTGCTAAATTATTGTTGTTCAAGTTGGATCTTTTAAAATTATTTTAAATATCATGTTCCCTGTTGCAGAGTTACAATACATAGAGAAAAATGATAGGAAGCATAGCTGTAACCAGTATGGTCCATTTCACTCGCAGTGGAAAAATAACTAACAGCTGAGCTCTGCTAGTACAGCTAATAAATTTAGCTCTATGGATGTACACCTATATGATAGTCATGCTTAGGTAAGCAACAACCGGAGTTTTGGTGCTTTACAGAGTTTTAAGCGCATCCAGGGATTGCATAACTTCACTTCAGCGGTTCAGAGAATGTTCTCCAGGTTAAACATCCTTGGTTAACTGTGAGAAGACTATGACCTCCTCATCCTCTTTGCCCTTTCTAGTGCAGTTTTACCGAAGGATCTACATGATTTCCTTTCCACTCTTTGTCTTTTTCCTCCCTGAACCCATTTATTTTTATTACCTGTGGAAGTCTCACTGCCCGCCCCCAAACCCCCACCCATGCAACACACAAGTGGTAAGGATGGTTTGACTTTGAATGGTAAATTTCTTCTGTGTGTTTATCCTAAGGTGTGCATCAGTTGGCTCCGGGTTTACATTTGCTCCAACAGCCAGCAGGGCCGATGGGTATTCCTGGCCATGGACATCCTGGCTGGGTCTCCGGAAGACCCTAGGTACCCCACACGAGACTATTCTTAATGACTATGTCATTTTAGCTGCAAACCACTGAACCCACTGTGAAGAGTATTAGGGTGTGACAATACACGTAAGTGTGCATGTGAAAGTAGGGTGGGGAAGGTAGGCCGGTGGTCTGCTCGAAGGCTATTTTTCAAACCCTCTCTTCCACTAAAAATGTCTCCAATTCTAATATCCTAAGAACTTGTTTAGAATTTTCCGTTTGGATAAATCTAGTCCTTAGAGCTTTAATAATTTTTGTGCCATGAGACTTAAACACGCAGTTCCATTTCAGCGCTTAACTGCAGCACCAACTTACTGACAGCTTACTCTCATTTAGGAACGTACCTCTGAGAGTACCTCTGACATCTAACCTAATTTAAGACTATCTTTTCCTTTTTATTAAACTGTTGGATATGTTTTAACCTTGCCTGTTGCCTCAAAAACATTTTTAAATAGAGCTTATTGTTATAAAGCATAAACTCCGTGAGCTCAACGGTGGGCAAATCTACACTTGAGCACCCAAGGCTGCAGCTGAGAATGAACGAACTCATCAACACAAACACTCATGCCCCTTCCTTTTATTTTAGACCCCTTTTCTGATCTGAGACAGGTGAGAAGTAGGTGGGCATGTGAAGATACAGTCAGCCCTGGGCGCTCAGTGTAGTGCAGAAAATGAGCCAACCCTGAACATCCTCTGGCTCAGCTCCTTTCTCTCCTGTTCAGGAGTCCGGTATTTCTGTCGATTCCCGCAGGTGCCCCGCGCACCCGCTGCCCCGGGCGCGGCCACCTGCCACGCCCTGCTACCCGCCCTCTCGGCGCCGCCGCAGTGCGCGGAACAGCGCTGGTCCTCACAGCCCGTGCACAGGAGGTGCGCGCTCCCGAGCTGGCGTAGTTTCCCAGCGCGGTGCCAGCCCCTCATCCTCCTCCAGTCTCACTCCCCTCCCGACTGCCGCCCCAGGCTCCGCCATGGGGAATGTGCCATCGGCGGTGAAGCACTGCCTCAGCTACCAACAGCTTCTCCGGGAGCATCTCTGGATCGGGGATTCAGTGGCAGGGGCGCTCGACCCCGCGCAGGTACCACCTCGCGGCCCAGGGTGTCCCTACCCTCATGCGCACTGCCAGCTAGCCTCTCTCCCTGCATCCTCTTGGTGCTCTCCTCCCTTTATGTCACCTCCTCACCCCAGGACCCTTTCCGCAGCAGTTCTGTCGTGTTAGGCCGCACCCCTTAAACGGTTTCCCATTATCTCTCTTCGGTGAATATATCGACCCGCCTCTACAGATCAGACCCAGCAAAATCCCTGCCTGTGACCATTTGCTGGTCGCCTAAAGGAAAGAATTCCTTCTCTGTGTTTTCCTGGAAAGGGATGCATTACGTAATACAATTTGTATTCACAGGTATTCCTTCAAGGGTACTGCCCTTATTCTCAGTACTCCTTGTACTGTGTAACAAAGAGGACAAATTTGTCACAATGTGAGGCAGAAAAGGAATGAAACCGGTAGAAGGTTAAGAAGACACAGTAGGTTGAAATAGTCCATCAAGAGCATTAATTATCCCGAATGTATCTGTGCTTCAACAAACTTGAAAGAAAGCGTAAATAACAGCACTTTCAGACTAAAGTTTATTCCCACGTTGTTCCTGAAAGGCCATGTTAAGACAATAGGCAACTTAATATTATTCATATACTTATGATTTAATGCACTCTCAACCAGTGTCAGATAAATAAAGAAAAGGTGTATAAAGAAATTAACTTTTTCCTTAAAAAAGCTGAAAATCTAAAGTTCCACAAAATATTAAATAACTGATAATCGTTATGAAAATGTTGAAACATGGAATAAAGGAGGGGCAGTGTGGGGACTTCTTGTTGAATTACAGGTGCTGGATGCAAGATTATTTCTGATTTGACTAGTGAACAAAATAAATTCTGTTATTGTAATATTTTAGTCAGTAAGCATAATTGTACCATGTGGATTTAAACCAACTATTCTAATGTAAGGTACTCATTTTCTATTATGTATTCTCAGTTTGGTGTATCATATGTGAAATTGCAATTTTATCTCTACAAATTGGAATTCAGTCTTTGGAAGATATTTTATTTCTCGTTACTTAAAAGATGGCCATGGTCATCTAACTCAAAACCTGTTGGTGACAGTGGTAGAGGTGAAAGTTATCCTTTGTCTTCCCCCATATTAACATGTCTATTTAATTTTCCTACATTCTATTTTGACCTTCCTGATGTAATTTTATCTTCATGTTCTTGACTTTTTAAATTCGGTCTGTTATTTAATCAGGAACCATTAGCTTATATTTCCTAAGTCTGAGACTTTATATGACTTTTCTTTTTGAGTGAATATTTTATTTTTCTCTCCCTCTTTATTTTCTGATGTACACGTTTTGTGGGTTTTATGGACAATGATAGAAGATTGGCTGCAGGTAAGGATGTCTCTTTTGCCCTATTAAGATATGGAAGCAGATTAAATGAAAATGACTAGGATTCCCGAGAAATAAAATTTTGGAACATTCATCAGCTTAATGACTTTTTTGGCCCTTTCTGAAGAAATATTAGCCTTCTCTATATATTACCTTTTTAGTCACTGACTGCTTTGCCTAGAAAACTCTTATTTGTCTCTCAAATACAGATTTAAAAATATATATATTTTTGGTTCAGCTGTTTGCTCCCTCCAGAGTTATGCTTCTTTTTGTGTTAGCAGGAATTTTTAAAAATAATTCTGTTTTAGTTCCAATACTGTTGAATTGTAATTTTTTCTATCTCATCCTATTTGAACTCACAGCAGCACTGACATCTGACACTTGACTTTTTGAAATTTATCTTCCTAGATTTCTGTTCTAATAAACCTTCACTGCTTTCAGCCCTATGTCTCTGGATTCTCAGTCTCCTTGGCAGGCTCGGTGGCTTCTATCCACTGGGTAAATATCCAGATGCCCCCTCACTATTTACACTCTTCCTAGTGTGAGTGTGAGCGACAATCTACACTCACAGATTTGGTTGCTGTTTGGGTACCATTTGTTTTCTAGACTTACATTCCTGTGTTTCTCTTGAATTCCAGTCCAGATGTTCAGCTGCTCATTTGACATCATCGCTTGAGTATCTCAAAAGCAACTCAAACTCAACATTTTCAAAATTTTATTAATGTTCTACTCCTTCCAACACTGGACTTTCTCCAGTATTTCCTATTGCAGGGAATGCCATTATAATTCATTCAGTTCTATGAGCCATACACCAGAAACTATCTTCTTTCATTTCCCTCACACCCAAATTATCACTGAGTCCTGCAATTTTACTCACTGAATTTCTTTCAAATATATTTTCCTAACTTCACTGCACCAATCAATTTTAAAATGGCATTATCTCTCATATGTATGACTGAACTGTTGCAGTAGTCTTCTTACTTTCCAGGAATCCCTCTTCAATCCATTGTCTATATAGCTAGTTGGAAAATGTTCCCTATTTCAAGTAAAATAATACTATTTCCATGTTTCAAAACCATCTATGAATTTCCATTGCTTTTAAGAATGGACACCAAAACTTTTAATGGGTTTTCTAAACCTCAAATGATCTTTTCATTGCATCTCTCAGTAACATCATCTTAAGTTATTCTTTTTTATTCTTGCCACTTTAGCCACAGTGGCCTTGAGTTCTCTAATAAATTGTGTTCTCTCTGGAACCACAGTGTTTGCTTACTTTCCTCTCTGCTAGGAATATTATTTTCAACAAATTAACTTCTAATTAATCTTCTGCCCTCAACTTGCATGTTACCTTCTCGTGAAATCTCTCCCAGACTCTCAATGCCAGCAGCTTTTGTTAGACTTCTATTGCATAGTAACCTATTTGTTATAGATAATATACATTATATATTTATTTTCATGATTACTTGATATTTAATTACTTTGTAGATATTAAGCACAGTAAAAGTAAGGAAGCAATTCACCACAGGATTCTCAACACTTATCAGAATGTCTGGCTAATTTTTGATGGCCAGTGATGCTTGTCGAATGAACAAATGAATTCGTGTTTTCCCTTATAGGCCATAAGCATCACCAACCTATGAAGACCATGAACTTCTTCTTAGCATTTGTTCAAGGTCCATCAAAATGATTGGCACACTGTAGCATCATGATATATATTTGCTAAGTGAATAGAAAATCAGTGAGAATGAGGACATGGTATAAATAGGGTTTGGTCTTAGCACCAATTGGTGAATATTATTACTGTTTTTCTCTTACCTTTTTGTTAGTAGTTTAATGGAGAGATGAGGTAAAAATGGTTTCTGGAGGCTGTCAAGACAGCGGAGAGCTTAACTAATTCTCTATTGTTGAATCTGGCAGAGAGAATCATGAATAAACCTAACTCCTGTGATACGAAATAATTTGCAATTAGAACAGACAGAGAATTCTGTATTTTGAAATAATTCTGTGTATGCAATAGAAGATTGAAAACCTTGATATTTTCCTGCTACCAGCTTATTCCATGGTTTTTTGTGTGCAACAGCATGGCCAGACCTTCATTTTTCAGCTTACATTTTAGAGATAGTATATACCTGATGAATTATTAGAATTAAATTAAATATTATGTGTATGCATATATAAACATATACACATTGGAAGTTTAACAATACTATCAAATGTAAAGAGAGTAAATACGAATGAAAGGCTTATTCTATCACAGGTCCACTAATTAAATTATTTGGGTCTCTGTTTTTGCTAATGAAAATGGTTTTGCAGAAAATTCCCTTAATAGACCAAGAGGTTAAAATTGCTCATTCCATAATTCAAGCTATCTCTTAGGACATGTTTTATTTTCTGTAGTTGTCTCTGTTAAAAAGAGTATAACGAAACTGGCTTAATTGGTATGTTTTAAAGTTTTGATTAAATTTAAGGTTCCTAGTGAAGCGATCCCCCTTTGATTTTCAAGTGTTCCTTAAGCAATAACTAAATCTCTTCACATATTAATGCCCTTTTGCAAAAGTAAAATTTCCAAGGACCTAAATTCTAATATAAACAATGTTTCAAACCTACTATATTTCTAAAATAAAATGGTAGATTATGTGAGATTAAATTTATAGTTATTTTACATTCAATTCTGATCCTTTATGTTACATTTGCTGTCAGCAAAAATTATGATTCAATGTAGTTATTTGGTGCTAAAGGGTCTCTGGAATTTAAATGTATATTATATTTCTGCTTAAATGCAATCAGATGATAATGTAACTCTATACTTTTAGCTTGCAACTATGTAGTTGTTAGTACATTTACTAAATATCTTAGGATGATTGAGGAGGAATTTTCAGACAGGGACCAAACTGCCATCATACTGTTTTCTATTTGTCTCATGTATTCTTTGTCTCCTTACCATTTTTTATTCTTTTCCAGCTTCTTTTGAAATCATGTTGCATTTTAATTTCTCATTTTTCTCCTGAATTGATGTGTTAGTGATATACATTTTTTTTTTACTATACTCTTAATTGCTGTCTATAATATATCAACATACAACATGGCTTATTAAAATAATATATTAGTACTACTACAACTTACTAAAAATACAAATATGACTCTTTAACTTCATTTTCTGTCTTAGGCCTTTTATGTTTTTGTTTTCATGTATTATCTATATGTTATATTTACAATACATATGTATACAGTCAATATCCATTTATATTTATGCACATATTTTCTCTTTTCTCCTTTCTTCATCTCCATTTTTTCCTCAGATTACTTCCCTTCAACCAGAAGTGTTTGTTTCAATATTTTCTTTAGTAAAAAAAGTACTAATATTTTTTTTTTCAGTTTTTCTTTGTTTGAAATTACATACACACGTACACTAATGTATATATATATACACATACATAATGTTTATAAATATAAATGAATATTTACTATAAATGTAAGTTTTATCTAAAAAATTAAAAGACATGATAGCAGTGCAAAATGCAGATTTCTCAACAGATACAGTGGAAGCCAGATACAATAAAATCAGCTATTTGTCTTATTTTTGGTCCTTTGATGATAATTTATCTTTCATTCTTTTCTCTTTGTGTTTGGTTTCTAATAGTTTGACTATGGCATGTCTACGCATACTTTCTTTTGTATTCATCTGGGTAATGATGTGCAACATTTCTTGGATCTATCAGTTGATGTTTGTTGGGTTTCACATTTTGGAAGCTTTTCAACCATTTTTGCTTCAAATGTTGTTTCTGTTTCTTGTTTCCTTTTAAATCCTCTCCAGTTAGGCCTACAATTTGAAGAATATTAGAACTTTCTCTGAGCCTTATTTATTTCTTAAATTCATTTTTTCATTCTTTCTTTTTTCTCCATATTCAATCTGAATATTTTCTTCTCATTTATATTCCATTTCACTAATTTCTTCTTCAGCTTCATTTAATTTGCTGTTAATCTTATTTATTGAGTTAATTTCAGTTATTATATTTTGAGTTAAAGCATTTCTATGATTTCTAAAAGATAGGCTTTAGTTCTCTGCCACAATTCTCTATTGTATTATAAATTCTTGAATATTTATTAGAATTATTTTAGATCCCATGTCTGACAACTCCAGTACCCAGATCTCCAATTAGTCTGTTTTATGTATTTTCCTTCCTGGTATACCTACAAAATTTAAATAATATGTTAGACACCTGGTATGAAAATAATTATAGACATAATTTGAGACTCTGAATAATACTGTCCCCAGGTGGGACTTCTCTTTGGCGTTGTCAAACAATAAGCGTAGAGATAACTTATTTTAAGCTAATCAAGTGCTTACCTGATGGGAGGTTTAGCCTACTTTACTTGTGAGGGCTTGACTTTTTTCTCTTCCTCCTTACTTTTTGTATTCTGCAGTCATTCAGGGGTCCTAACTAAAACCTAAAATGTTTACCAGGGTTGCTTCTCCTTGCTGAGACCTGAATTCAAACTATTTCCACTCTAGCCTTGCAAGGCTCCTGGAGAATCTAATGCTCTCAGCTTCTCAGTGGCTCAAACAGAATTGGCAAATGCTTCCAAAAGAAAAGTTATGCTGACTGTTGGGCTCACCATTTTATTTTTTTCTCCTGCATAGTATATTGGTTGCTGAAATACTCATTAACCAAATTTCTGAGACTATTAAATGATTGTTTTTCATTAATATTTTATCCAACTAATATAGTTGTTGTCAGTGAGAGGCTTGTTGTGAACAAGCTAGTCAGCCATTATTGAAAGATTATATAATAAGGAAATTAAATTTAAAAATACCAATTGTGCAATTTAGTTTAATTTGTAAAAATATATTCATTTACCATACCACTTGAACTTGTTATATTCCAAGTAGCATACATGCTATTTAGATTACCAATTTGAATTCCAGAGAAAGAATAAAAAGATTATCTGCCTCATGAAAAATATTGTATGGAAAAAATGACTATTCCAAATGGTTTTTAGTATGATGAACAAGTTATAAAGGTAATGAATACATATTTTAAATAATGTTAAAAGTAATATTATGCCCAATTTTAGTATCTGCTCTTTGAAGAACAATGTACTACTTACTCCCTCTTTATGTGTAATGTACTTTAATAAAATTTTGATAGTTTAATAAAATAGTTTAATAAAATTTGTTAAAGTAGTTCCTTTATAATATTTTATCTCTGTTGACATACATGTATATTAAATCTTTTCATTTTATTAGCATAAAGTTGGTAAAAGTATTTTCTTGTTATTATTTACCTTTCTTTTGAATCTTTTGCATTGTCTCTTTCTGATTTGGGTACATTCTCTTTCTCTTTCTCTCTCTATAAGTCTTCCTACAGTTTATCACTTTACTCAGAAGCATCTTGTAGGCTTGTTTATCCTCTTGACTATTTGTATATGTTTGTATCTGTTTATGCATATGGATGATGTGCTAGCAACTGATTTCTTTTTTTTTAAAATTATTCTCT